TTTAGAGTTATTGATATCATTTTAAAGCTTGTTCATCCCCCCCCCCAATCTATCTCAAATAGAAGTCGAGATATTTGAGATTGAAGAAGGTGAGGTCGTCTGGTTTCAAATGTAGAATTAGCGAGAAAAAGGCCGCATAAATGTGGTCATTTCCATAGCTTGACACACCGTGGAAACTGAAAACTTACACTTTTGTGCCTATAATCAACGTTTTTCCAGTAAATTCCACTCCCAAAAAATGTTATTAATCGGACAAAAGTGGTGTTAAACCAAAAAACAAAAATTCGATAAAAATTGCCGAACCGGCAGAAATGCCAGTTTCTTCAATTTCAATATTGTGACGAGCGCCTGATTTCACCACGCTGCCTCACACTGAAGCCAATATCAACATAGCGTACAGGCCTTTGAGACCCATCTCATCACACCCTACTGCAGGCCCGTCTTAATACATTGTACATACCTCCTCAGGTCTTTCGAGTAGCAATTACAAACAGGCGTGTTCAGCAGGATGTTTATATTAACTGTATCAATATACATGTATCATATTTGTGAAATTTCGTCATTTTGGTTGCCTAAAACTTTCGAAACACTTAACTTTCGAATTTGAAAAAAACAACAACGATGCTTCAGAATCATTTAAAGGGTACATAGTTATATATCAAGGAGTCTGAAGTCACTCTAGTTTAATTTTCAGTTTTTACTTATTTTCGTTTAGATCTGATCCTTGGAAAGTCCATCTTCTAAGACACCATTGCAAACAAGTAAGGCTTTCGTTCACAAGCAGTGTTCACTTTTTCCACACTGACTTGACGATAGATTCCTTTGAGTCCGTTCATCGAACGGGTGCCCAGCTCGTGGTACATGTACATGACTATTTCTAATGGCTTCAGACTGGCGGTCCCTCGTCCTGGTGTTCAAGATCAACATGGAATTTATAATATCGTGAGACACCCTGAGACATCAACCCATTTGGTAATTGCAGAACAGCAATGTAGTACTTACCTAGAGTCTTCCTTTAATGAGCTTGTTTTATACGGTAGCTTTAAAGCACAACGAGGCTGTCCCGAAAAATGCTGTTTTGAGAAAATCGAAGGTAACATTTTGGGGATCCTTGTTCAGACAAAGAGATTTTTTTTCCACCCCAAACAATATACACATCAATGAAACCAAACTTCTTCTATAGGTAGGGCAATACCCACATTTGGTGTGGGTCAAGATTTCTGGAAACCCCCTAAATCTGGGTTAACCCGCTTGTCCTAAAAAGCGACAAATTATAATATCACAAGATTCCATGAGACATCATCCTATTTAATAATTGTAGAACAGTAATTGTACTTACTTAGATCTAGAGTCTTCATTTAATGAGCTTGTCATTTTTCTAGAAGTGAAGTGATTTTGTATGTCTTCTCAATTTTCACTACACCATCGACAGTTCGCAAACGTACAAAGCCACAATCTTACTCTCTCTCTCTCTCTCTCTCTCTCACGTAGAATCAAATGAAGTGTGTGTGTGTGTGTATGTGTGTGTGTGTGTGTGTGTGTGTGTTCGTGCGTGCGTGCGTGCGTGTGTGTGTGTGTGTATGTGTGTGTGTGTCTGTGTACATGTGAATGTGTGTGCATGTGTGGATGTGTGTGAGGGTGTGTGCGTGTGTGCATGTGTATGAGTGTGTGTGTGTGTATACATGTGTATGT